GTAAAAGCAATTTTAAAGTTCCATCTCACATGTATCAGATTGGCAAAGATGACAACAAAGGAAAATGACAAATATTGGAGGGCCTGAGGTAGGGTGGAGGGGGAGAAGAATCACACTAGTGCAATGTTAGTGGAGCTGTGAATGGACCCAGCCATTCTGGAAAGCAATCTAGACCTATGCCCCCTCCAAGTTACTGAATTCTGCATACTCTTTGACCCAAATATATCACTACCAGGCTTATATTCCCCAAAGAAAGAAAAAAAAAGAGGAAAAGGGCCTATATGTACAAAAATATCTATAGTGGTGGCCAGAATTGGAAACAAAGGAAGTGTCCTTAAATTGGCGAATGGTTAGACAAATTGTGGTGTAATGCAATAGACAAATTGTGGTGTAATGCAATATTATTGTTCCATAAGAAATGATGAAATGGATAGTTTCAGAGGAAACTGGGAAGACCTTTACAAACTGATGAACAAGTTGAGTAGGAGTATGTTTTATACAATAACAACATAGAAAAACATTTTTTGAAAGACTTTAGAATTCTGATCAACATAACAACAAAAAAAACCACAAGTCCAAAGGAATAAAGATGAAACATACTATTCATTACCTGCTAGAGAAGTGACAAACTTAAAATGCAGAAAGAGATATGTTTTTGGTTTTTGACATGGCCATTGTGGAAATTTGCTTTACCAGATTATGAATGTATATATTGAGGTTCCTTCCTTCTGTGATGTTTAAAAAGTTCAAGACACATAATTTCTGGGTAATTTAAACATTTTATCATTAAAGCTAGCATGTTATTAATAAAAAGAGGTCAGTGGCGCTCTTGAATGCCAAAGATGCTCATGGCAGCAGGCTCAAGGCCTATGTGACCTTGGAAGAGCAGGTGTTTCTGAGGGTAGCAATCAACTCTAATTGGTTAAAAATTAATGAGAGAATGAATATTGTGAGAGGTGGGCTATATTACAGTGAGGGTCTTGAGGTACACTTGGATCACTCAAGTCTAGGTAAAAGAGATATCAATTTCCATAATACCTGTCTGACAGAAAGGAGGATCCACATTTTCCCAGACCTGTATAAGTAAACACAATAAGTAGGAATGCACCCACTGGCCTAATCCAGAGATGGGAAACCTACAGTCTTGAGGCCATATGTGGTCCCCTAGATCCTCAAGTAGCTCTTTGATTGGATGGCCTAAATTTAGAATTTCTTTAACTGTCTGATTAGATCTTAGTCTGGGTAAGTCTTTGCCCAAGATTTCTCACAGTGGTTGATTTCTGGATGAGAAAGTAGAAAAGGGGAAAAACCTTGGTCCTGATTCAATAATTAGTTATTAGTACAAGAGAGAAATAATCATTTCTCTCCCTTCCTTCTTTCCTTCCTTCCTTTCTTTTTTCCTTTTTTCCTTTCTTCCTTTCCCTCCTTTATTTGTAAAAAAGAAAAACTAGAAACAACCATGATTTCCAAACACTGGGGACTGAATGATATGGTATATGAATGTAATAGAATATTATATAACCATAAAATATGAAGGATATGAGCAAATATGGAAAGTCCTAAATGAATTGATGTAAAATAAAATCAGAGATATAAGAAAAATAACATACACATTGAGTCCAACAAAAAAAGTCAAAGGAAATGAATCATTACTCAAAATAGGAAATGGAGCAAATTTTAAAAAAAATATGTTAAAAGTCATGCTTCTTTGATAATGGATATAATCTCTTTAATGTGGGTACTTCTTCCACCAATGTGGATCATAGTCTATCTAAGCCTATTTTTTTGTGTGATTCTATAGGAGCTTCTATAAATCCTCCACAGAGGATCTACCCAAACCATTGATGGCCTTTCTCTAGATCTTTGAATATTTCATGTATAATGGTATCTACCTTTTTTTAAAGTATGGTTTTTCTTTTTAAACAAAATATAAATTTTGAGATTTTATTTGGATATTTACTCTATTTTTGCTTTTATTATGTTTATTATTTGTTGAGCATATTAAATTTATGCCAATAAAATGATGTATTTTAATTTGGCTTTGTAAATTGACAACAGAGAAGATTAACATTGAACTACGATACCTATGATGTAGAGGTATGTACCAATGTTCATGAGTTCTTGACAACATTCCAAACTCTTTCATGGTTATTGGACTATTAAATATGCTGTATAGAGCATTGTGAGGCAAGACAGAACTAGAATGACAGGTTTAAAGGAGGAAGCTGAGGAACTCTTGCCAGTCACTGTGTGCATGTCTCTGAGGGAAAACTGTGGCCAAGTAAGACTGAGCTGCATTTTCTACCAGAGCTATACCAAATAGGGGCTGAGGTGGCAGACAGATGAACTCCATTGCCTGAGCTGGGAAAGTTAACTTAACTCCATCACCCATGTTTTATGGGATGGCGGATGGTCAAGCCTGAGGGGGAGCTACACTAGGAAAGATGGTGGCCTACCATTCTGTTTTTTTATTCATTTTGAAAAAAAACCAAATTCATCATGTAGGCACTCTTCAAATGAGCAAACCAGCCTTCCTGGAAGTATCAGGGGCCTGAAGCCTGAAGCTAGCAGTCAGGTAACTTAGTCACACCTAAGTGAAGCCATTATGGCTATCACCCAAGGGCAAATAACTACTGACTCCTAGAATAACTTCTCTTTATAAGAGTCCCCCTCCTCCAATCCTCTACCTTTTTTTTGACTGGGTGAATGATTACTTTTGAACTTAAGCACAAACATAAGATCCTGGGGATTACTGAAAAAGAGTGACCTTTGGGAGTTCCCTTCCCCATCTAAGTAAAGCCACAACAAGGGTCAAATTGCAGAGGTTTTGTGCCAGATATTGACATCTGGGTTAGAATAGACTTCTTCCTCTTTGTGGTGTGCACACCCCACACTTCTTGCAATGCCCTAGACCTTGAGGGGATAGTAGACTCTCGAAGAGGGAGATGTAATAAGGTAGTGAAAGGCTAATGAAAGTTGCTGAAGGAGCACTCTCCAAGACTATCATCTGCATTATTCCCCACTCCCCCCTCCCACTGTTCTTATCTCTGGTGAAAACATTTCTAATTATGCCTCTGTCACCAAGATACTTAAAATTCATCAGTCCCCAACTAAAATCATTCAATAAGTCAATATCAAGCATCTTTGCTATCCTAGGTCTTGTGAGGGATACAAAAGTGCATGACATCATACCTACAATGTAGAAGCTTATACTCTCTCTGGGGAGACTAGATAGACACAATCCAAATAGTTAAATAACAATCTAAGGCAGTATATGACTAAATGTCAAAATGAGTGGTACCATCAATGTAATAAGAATGCAGAGTAGGAGACCTCAGATGGCTAGAGGGGTAAGGGAAGGGAAGATGTCATGATGGAAATGGGACTTGCACTGGAGCAGAGAAATATGGGTAGAATTTGGATAGTCAGGGAAGAAGAGGACAGACATTCTAGGTAGAAGGACCAGAATTAATAGAATCAGTAAGAGGATGGGAGCCAGGAGGAGTGGTTCAGGTTGGGGGAGTTGATTTGTTGAAGGCTTTGAATGCCCTGAGGAGACTGGACTTCTTTTTATGGTTTATAGTCTGTGAAGAGCTGTAGAAAGATTTTTGGCAGGGAAATAACATAATAGATTCCTTCCAAAATTTCATATAACTGCAATTGGAATAAAATTAAACATTCCTCACTATATCTATTAGCTGAGGTATGAATTCTGCCAATAATAGTAGCTTATATTTATATAGGTTAATAATTGTTATAAAGCACTTTCCTCACAACAACCCTGTGAGGTAGGCAGTGCAAATATTATCCCCATTTTACAGATGGAGGAACAAAGGCTAAGGGAGATGAAGTGGCTTGCTTGGGATCCCAGAATCAGTAACCATGAGAACCCGAATTTGAATCAGCGCTCCTAATTGGGGGTCCAAAACTCTTTCCACTAGCCCAGCTGTCCAAAGGGCACGTCCAGTAGGATTTTGCGATGGTGTGCAGGCGTGTGGTTGTTTGGTTAGGTGTTTTTCCCTGCTAATCACAATGATTCAGTGCCCATAGTGTGATCCCCTGGCATCGGTCTTCCTGTGCCGCCTTCTCTGCAGTCATACCTAAATATGAGGTAATGTCATATGGTAGGTTGTTGAGCCCATCTAATGGGGGAAGAGGATGTCATGGGTGCTTCCTGCTAGAGTATTAAGTTCTTTCAGAATGGGGACTGGGTCTCATTTCCCTTTGGACCTAAGGTACTGCTTTGCTTAAGCCCGGTGGTACTATCGTTTGCTGAATGAAGAAAGCACCTTAGTGCTGAAGTTGGTGTCAAAGGACGCTGGTCCTAATCCCTATGGTTACTAACTACTGTGTGGTTTTGGGCCTGTGACTTAATCTCCCTGGGCCTTAATTTTCTCAAGTGTCAAATAAGGAGGCTGGACCAAATGACCTCCAGGTCGGGCTCTGATTGGATGACTCTGATGCCTTGTGGGAGGCCACCTTATATGTAAGTGCTCCATCAATTAGAATCCGTGTGATTACGTCATTTCACGCTCTGATTCAGTGACATAGCTGTTTCTATTCTGAGATGATGACGTGAGAGAGAAGTTTGACTCGGGGTTAGTTAAGAGCTACGAAGGGGGCAGCCTTGGTCCGACTGGGCCTTTCGAGACCAACCTTCTGCCATCAGCCTGACATGGGTACGCATGCGCCAGCGCGCTCTCCTTCCACCCCCACTCCTTCCTTCTCCCCAGGTGAGAAGAGAAGTGAAGGTGTGGGGAGAAGATAAGGAGGTGGACGCTATAAGAAGCGGAAGTGTCTGTTGCCGGGGGGCGGGGGCGGGGGCGGGGGCGGGGGTGGAGAAAAGAGGCGGTGGTTGAAGGGGGCGGGGCGGCATCTAGGCAACCAGCCCGAACGCTTTTCAGCGTCCTCCGGTGCACCCTTCCGGGAGGTTTCTCCATGACAACACACCGTAAAGCACGGCTGCGCAGCTGGTGACGGAGCGACGGGGTGACGGGGTGACGAGAGAGACGGGGTGACGGGGGAGAGAGGGAGGGTGTTTTGGTGCCTGTCGCTCGCCGTCCTTTTTCCTTCTCTGGTCGCTTTCGCCGCTCAGTCTTTTCCTCTCTCCCCCCTCCCCGGCCCCTGTCCTCCCTCCAGCCCCAGGCCTCTGTCCTCCCGCCTCGCCGCTTCTCCTGCGTTTCCCCCCCACCTCACCCTACCCAGTTCCCCGTTCCCTCCCCCAGTATATGCCCCGCAGCGCGGCCGCCCCCCGCTCCCCCCGGTCCTGCCGCCCCATGTGGCTGCGGGACCGCCGCGGCGTTTCCCACTATGGCCCGGAAAACAGTTAGCAGGAAGCGGAAAGCGCCCGCGGCGCCAGGGACCGGGAGCGGGACCCAGGGCCATCAGGTAACCGGGAGAGGGGGGACCGGGGAGGACCGGGGACCGAGGGTCGCGGGGGCAGGGGGAGTCGGGGCTGCGTAGGAACGGGGGGCAGGCCCCAAGCGTCGTCGGCCGCAGGTGGATCTAGGCCCGCGGCTCCCCCGGGAAGGCAGAAAGGCAGTCCTGCGGAGGGTGGGCAGCGGAAAGCCGGGGGGGCAAGGGGCTGCAGGGATCCGAGCCTGGGCTGTCACCGAGGGCGAATCCGCGCCCTGCTCTCGCCTCCCCTCTGCCAAAAAAGACCCTCCTCCGACGTCAGCGATCAGGCCTCGTCCCGACCCCCCCAAAGCAGATAATGGGGCTCCCGAATCCCCAGCCCTCCGGCCGGACCTTCCTCACCTGCGGCCCGAGGCCAAGGCTGGAGCTCAAGGCCAAGTTCGCCCCAGCCCCTCGCCCCCAGCAGATGCTACCCCTTTGGGGGGCGGTGATGGATAAAAACAGGGGCCCCAACTCGGGTCCTTTCCCCCGCGGCCTCCCGGCCCTGTCCCCTCCCGTCTCGTGTTTGGGTTTGACTTTTCGAACCCCCGCAACTGTCCGGAGCGCGGGGGCCGCGGCCGAGGGAGCGGGGGCCGCGGCCGAGGGAGCCAGGGCCGCCCGGGCGCTGGGATGGCCTAGGGACCCGGGCATCCCGACCCAGGCTCACCGCCCTTTCTCGGCCAGCCTAGTCCCGCACGACCCTCTCGATGCTTCGTAGTGATCGCAAGCGGAGAGGGAGGAGGGGACTGGACAGAGATGTGTCCCAGGTCGGTATGGGACCCTCCCCATCCCTGCTTCCTCCCGTGGCTAAAAAGGTGCCGCTCCTCTCCCGAAAATCCTTTCTGTCTAATTCTGTCTTTCTGGCAGTTGATTGTAGATAGTCCCGGGCCTGTTCTGGGATAAACTTTGGGTCTCGGTGGGTCTCTCTCTCTCTCTCTCTCTCTCTCTCTCTCTCTCTCTCTCTCTC